TTTAAGTACTCACTAATTATTTCAGACCAAAAGAGATCTACTATAAGTGCACCAAGACTTCATGTCTGGGGACCGGTGAGATAGCTCAGCAGTCTAAAGCGCCTGCCTAGGAAAGCTTAGGCAAGCAGTCCGATCCTGGTACCAAATGCCACGCCAGCCCCGCCCCCAGGGCCAGCTGAGCTAGTCTCAAAAAAAAGATTAATTTTTACTAGAGCAAAATGTATATATAGCATATCTGGCCAAGTAAAAATGTTTATTGAAATCATTGGTGGACCTACTTCATTGTTAGTTGTGTGAAACCAGCATATTAACAGGCAGTAAGGTGGGTGGGTGGTACCTACGTGTATACTCAGAGGCTCAAAGGTGGTGAGCAAACCTCAAGGCCAGCATAGGTAACTTGTGAGACCTAGTTCACAACAAGGAGCTGGGGATGTAGCTCAGTGATAGAACCGCTGGCAGAGGGCCTGGGTTCGGTCTCCAGTACCACACACACAAAAATGTTTTATATAATAATATTACCAGGGCTGGGGAGATGGCTCAGTAGAATAAGCGCTTCCCTGGCAAGCACAAGGGCCTGAGTTCAGTCCCCAGTTCCGCAAAAAAAAAGAAAAAAATTACTGATACACAAGTAAAATTGAGCTAAGAATTCCATTATGTGGGAAGTTAACTGTAAAACATTATTTGGGGCATTTCTGTGTCCCCACCAAGAGCTCTTTGTAATAACAGTGTTTTGTTCATTTGATCATGACTTTCATTCAACTTGTCACTCATCCTCTGAAGTGAATAATGCATGCAGTAGTTAGTTTCTATAATAATGAACCTTCTGTAGCAGAAGCAAGTCAGGCTCTACAAAGAGGCTTTTGTTGGGCTGCCACTGAGTTCAGACCTTGTCAGTCTGTCACACCACCTGCCTTCCACGTCTTGGCCCCTTTTACTAACAAAAATTATTTTAGTGTCCGCTTGATACCTGCAGAACTCTTGAGCACACACACACACACACACACACAGGGCAGGAGCTGGCGAAGGAGTGGTAGCTGTGTCATGCCCCCTTCTTGCCCATGATAAAGCCTTATTTTACTTTTCAGTTTGTTATTTCATCTTCAGCAGTTGATTTTCTGATGTATTTGGTTAAACAGGAAAACTGTGGTATGTCTGTGTGCAATGGTAAAATATATATCCTGGGTGGAAGACGGGAGAATGGAGAGGCCACAGACACTATCCTGTGTTACGATCCCGCGACAAGCATCATCACAGGTGTGGCTGCCATGCCCAGGCCCGTGTCCTACCACGGCTGCGTGACCATTCACAGATACAGTGAGAAGTGCTTTAAGCTCTGAAGCCAGGCTACCTCACCAAGGAGCTGCGCCACGCCAAGATGAGAGAGGTTTTGAAACTCCAGAGCAGGAATTTACCTCCTCCGTGCCCTATGCAAAGATAGTAAAAATATGATCCCGGTGCCTTCCTCCCAGAAATGTCAATCTTGCAAACTGTAATAAACTTTTCCTGTAATTGAAAACAGTGCTTCTTGTTAAGGGTAACAGCAGTTGTTGCTGGGCTTTTGGGAGTGTACCTGTACCTTTGTAAATATTTGTAGGAGCTTGTGGGGAGTAGGAAACAATGTCTGCGCACTGTCCAGGAACCTATGAAAGGGCTCCTCGCACGTGCGTACCTCAGCTACAGGACTGTTCCTTAGGCAGAGAAAAGTGCAGGATTGAGGTTTCTTTAGGTGGAGACACCTAATGCTGAGAACATTTACAGCGCATTCTGAGAGGGAAAATCAGTTTTAAAAATCTTTGTTACTAACAGTATCCAAATTGGTTACTTTTATTGAAGGTGTTTTTCCTTTGATAGTAATGTAAAATAATGACACTTTGGAAACCATAAAAATATTGAATTACTATGACTTCATTCTTACATATTTGTTGTCTTACACAAAACACATTTTGCTTGGGAAGTAGGAAATACAGAAGTGTCCATAGAAGAGGGATTAAAAATACAGATTAATTCCTAAGAAAAATTAATTCATCACTGAAGAAAACAATGTGGCCTATGGTGACTTTCCAAGTACATGTGCATCCAAAGAAGACCTCCAAGGAGGGTTCATTCCTTGACCCTGGCAAGGGAGTTGAAAAGCAGTGTGGTCTTGCTTTTTTTTTTTTTTTTGGTCTATTTTGAGACAGGGTCTCACTATGCAGCCCAAGTGGGCCTTGAGCTCACTTTGTAGCCCAGGCTGGTCTCAGACTTGCAGAGATCCTCCTGCCTCAGCCTCCCCAGGGCTGGGATTACAGGCATGTGCCACCACGCCCAGCTGCAGGCCAGTCTTGTGAAAAGCAGTGTTGAGTCTCTCCCCAGCTTGGCAGGATCTGGCCTCATTATTACAGTGCTTTCGCTAGAGGCCTACTCCCTGTTGCCCACTGTCTAGTGAACAGCTAAAAGTTCTGAGTGCACTGTGGTGAGGATGCCTTTCACAGGCCCAACCAGGGACCACATACCGCAGTGGGTCCATTTTTCTTTTATATTTTACTATGTGGAAAAAAACATTTGTTGTAGTCTATAAGATACATCTTTCATCTGGTACCCATTGTGTAAGACATTGATTGGCATTTTCAAGTTTCTATAAGACAATCTGCTTTTCATGTTTCTCAACTCCAATTTATAAAGCTTACCAGTTTTCAGGAAAGAATGTGGAATTTGTTCCAAGACAAGTAAGTGGATATGGAAAAAACTGCAGCATACGCAATTATTGTGAGTCCCAGAGTGGACACACATTGTCTACAACCTCTTAAGGCTGTACAAGGCAGCCTGCTATAATCACTTCCTAGTTGCTGTTGTCCTTTACATTACGATTGTGTGTATTTGTCCTAGTATGGGTGAGGCAGATGCCTGATTATAGTGACACTAGTTTTCTGTTACAAGCAAGATAGTGATCAAAAACCTAACACTGGTAAACTTTTTTTCCTTTAATTTAGAAATTTGAGATGGCAAAATTTTAAAGCTTAGCTAGAATCTTAAATTCTGAAGAAAACTCTAAAAACTATATCTTTAGGGAATTTTTTAAGTTGTAATTTTAAAATGATATATAAGGGCCGACAAGGTAGCTCAGCAGACTAAGCGCCTACTTGGGTAAGCACAGGGACTGGGGTTCGATTCCCTTGCACTGGCCCCACCCATGGGCGTGCTGCACTGGCCACCAAGTCCGGAAGTCCGGGTGTGGTAGTGCATGCCTGTAATCCAGTGCTGGGGAGGCTGCAACGAGAAAATCACTACCACTCCGAGCTGCGTAGCAAGACCCTGTACCATATATATATATATATGCTTTTTATAATAACTAAGGGGCTGGGGATATAGCTTAGTAGAATAAGTGCTTGCCTGGCAAGCACAAGGGCCTGAGTTCAATCCCCAGTTCTGCAAAAAAAAAAAAAAGGTCCCTTGTAATATCAAAGCAATTCAGAAAACAGGTATCTGTCATTTTATTTGAAAGCAAATTGTACAATTTGGGACACTTATATTCTTACAGTAAACATGTGCATTATGCTTTTGTAAATAATTAAACCTGTTTAGTTCAGAAATTCTTTATAGTAAATGAAATAATGTATGAAAAATGTTTTGTAAATGCTTAGCATTATACAAATTATACTTGTTATTTTCATGTGTATTTGTAAGATTGTCCATATATACAAATATGTCCATAAAAAGGCTACATCAAGATAATTTTGTATTCCTAGTACTTTTGTCTATTATAAAAATCTTAACTGGTATTTTTGTTATACATTTATTTTTCATATTCATGTGTTTACTGTAAATTCGAAGTAAAACTAAAAACCAGAGTTTGTTTAAACATAAACATTATGCCAATTTTTTTTCTGTTCTTTTTGAGACATTGTCTTGGTATGCAGTTCAGGCTGGCCTTGAGCTCACTTTCTAGCCCAGGCTGGTCTCAAACTCACAGTGCTCCTCCTGCCTCAGCCTCCTATGTGCTGGGGTTACAGGCGTGCACCATCACACCCAGCCTGTACCCATATTATTTAATTTTTCTTTCTACATAAATTAGCTGTAATTTATGTTACCAGCCACTAAGGAGTCATCTTGAGTCCTAGAAAAAAATTTTTTTTTTTCTTTTTTGGTTCTGGGAATTGAACTCTGGACCTTGTGTTTGCTAGGCAGGCACTTGTACCACCGAGTTATATCCAGTGAAAATTATTTTTTTGTGTGTGTGTGGAACCGGGGATTGAACTCAGGCCCTTGCACTTGCCAGGCAAGCACTTATTCTATTGAGCCATCTCCCCGGCTCCAAAAATTATTTTTTTTTCAAAAATTATTATTTTTAAAGTTAACCAACTGATACTTAATTCCAGTTAAAGATACTTTATTAATTTCTGATAATGCCATTATCCTGGATAAAATGAGACCAATCCTTAGGTTATATGGAAAGCATATGCCAAGCAGATTTGTATCAGGTTATATTCATTCTGTCATCCCATAGTTGAAAGATTTTCTTTTGGTAAGTGATGCTCATATGAGCCTGAGTAGTCTACATGTATACACATATGTGTATGCGTACCTATATAGTATGGTTGTATACATACACCAAAAATTTTTATAGCTTGTAATGATCAGAAAAAACAGTAAAAATTTGATCATAGTAAATTCAGTTTCAGAATTTTTAACTGGGTATTTCTACAGTATTTTTATATTTAAAAGTACGCAATAAGCTGAATGTAGTACCACATGCCAATAATCCCAGCACTTGGGAGACCGAGACATGAGGATCACTACCATCTTGAGGCCAGCCTGTACTACATAGCAAAGGCCTGTCTCAACAGTGACAACAACAAAAATACATGATGAGTGCTAGTAATGACGACTTCCATGCTGTCAGAATCTCTACAGCACACCAGCTGTACCGGTTCAGAAAACAAATTGGCAGGAATGTCTGCTGCCCCAGCATGACGCCTCCGTGGCAGGAAGAGTCACAGTATGCTGTACAGATCAGTGGAGAGCGTAGCTCACGTGTGGGGGGTTCTTTCCTGTTTTCTGATACGCATGAAAAAGTGATCTAACTTCCTCCTCTTGCCACTGTTCTGCACAGTGTGAAGTGTAGCCTCTTGGCCCTGCAGTAACCATTAGCTGACTGAAATTTAAGTATTTACTGCAATTAAACCAGGTTAAGTAAAGATGATGGAAATACTCAGGGAGGGTATTAATTTGTCACTTTTGCCTACTTGGGGTGTTCAAAAGGCTGACCTTCAGTTGATTCTAGAGTACATTTAATTTAGTAAAGGGGCTTCACACGTGGCAGTAGTTGAACATTTTTATACTTAGATGAAAATGTTTTGTGATCTAAAACATTTTCTGAGTGAAGATGAATTGTTTATCTCTGTCAACCCTTTTTCAAACTCAGGAAGACAAAGGTTCAATTATACTACTTTTGTCAACATGCAAACCAGGTATGTTTCTTTTTCCTGTTACCTGGATACGGCAATAGATTACAAAAATACTGTGAGATCCTGTACCTGACAGTAGAGGGGTTGAGTAGTTTGCGTGTGCCTTGTGTGTCTTGACATTTACATGTGGAAAAGACATCTCCAGACTGTGTTTTCAAAAAAGAAAGCTTGCTATTTATATGGTGCCGAGTGATAAGACGCTGTCTTCTAAGGCTTCCTATGGACTGCCTTTATTTTAGTAAACTCAAGAAAATGACCTCAACATAATTTTGGCCTTAGTAGAATTTGTTGTGCATTCTGTTCAAAGCCAGGTTTACTTCACCTCCCCCTATTATTCTTTGTAGGTAAATTCACCATGTCACCTAACTAGAGTAGGTCAGGGGCTGACCTATCAGGCAGCAGATCTGAGTAGCTAGCGACACTTACCGTCACATCTAGTGCTCGGCGCCAGGAGCCACTTGAGCCAGGAGTGTGAACTGAAAATTCCAGAGACATGTTCAGTGTACTTTAGACATTTTTAAATGTTTTATATGAATGTTTTACATTTGTGTGATTGCCTTCGATAGTAAATTTACATAGTACTAAGGATGATCATCATAAGTAGGTTTTTAAAAAAAAAAAAAAAGTCATAACTTATTTTATATATTATTCCAAAGAAAAGAATTTCTGTGTTAGTGTTTTCAAAATAACACATCTGAATTTATGTGCCTTAAGTTACCAGTGCTATTTTAAGTTCTCAATCTAAATAAATCTAACCTTAGATAAGTTTCGTGTTTCTTTCCTATAAAGATGACAAACTTCCCTTCTTAAGTGTTTTAATGAGCACTAACCATGTGGTTGCTTGCAGAATGAGTGTTAGGAGAAGCTGCTGGGCACTTGAAGTTTTACTTTTCATTTTTACTTTCTTGATGCTCATGTGCTCTTTTAAAACATTCGGGTAACACTGACCTTAAATTGATCAGGCCCTCGTAAGAGCCATTTCCAGTGTCTTCGTGCACTGCTGAGAAGTGTGTGTACTCCTGTTCCATTCTTACATGCTATTTTTTTTTTCCTGTACAAGCATTTTCTTTAACTTTCTTGAAAAGACATTTGCTGTTCTCTTTCCCATCACCCCTACCTGCAGTTTATTTAAAATTCTGTCAAGAGCTTCTGGAGCTATCGAAGACAACAGCTTTAGAGTTGAACAAAAGTATAATCTGCTTGATGACTAGTACAGAGCGAGGGTAGCCAAGGGCCATTTGCTTGGCTCTGCAGTCTTCACTGGTGAAAAACTA